CCAGATGCTAATGAAGATGGGCTGGAAGGAGGGCGAGGGGCTGGGTTCAGAGGGCCAGGGCATCAAGAACCCTGTGAACAAGTGAGTGTGGCCGACTCTGGGGGTGGGCTCATAGGCACCCCCCTTTCCTTCCCTGCCCCCACCCAGTTATGTTATACCTTTTTTTTTTTTGGAGACAGAGCCTCAAGCTATCCCCCTGGGTAGAGTGCTGTGGCTTCACAGCTCACAGCAACCTCTAACTCCTGGGCTCAAGCAAGTCTCCTGCCTCAGCCTCCCAAGTAGCTGGGACCACAGGTGCCCGCCACAACGCCCGGCTATTTTTTTTTTTTTTTTGGTTGCAGCCGTCGTTGTTTGGCGGGTCCGGGCTGGATTCGAACCCGCCACCTTAGGTGTATGTGGCTGGCGCCTTAGCCACTTGAGCCACAGGCGCCGAGCCTGTTATACCTTTTCTATAGAACCTATCACCCGTACCTCATCATACACATGCCAGTGATTCAGGGAGGCTGGGCATGCCTACTCCTCCCCAGCCCAGGGTTAGGCCCTCCCAGGGCCTCTTGGCCCTATCTGCCTTGTAAAGGTCTTGTTTGAATTCTCCATAAGTGGGAAACCAGTCCCAGAAACTAGCCTGAACTCTCCCAGGTATGACCCTCATATGTGCTGCACCCCCTGGCTGCTGCACCACTTTGGAGGCTATCCTTGAGTAGCACCCACCACCCTAGAGCTGTCTGTGATAACATATTGTAGGCTTCTTCCTGTGCAGGATCCTGGGGGCTGGGCCACCTCAGTCTCATGATGCAGGCTTATCTCTGCCAGATGTCCCCTAGCCCTGTCCAGCCTCCAGGGTCAAGTGCCAGGAGGTGCTTCCCTGCCTGGAATCCTAGTCCTGCATCCCCCTTCCTACTGGCAGCAGCCCAGCCCTCTGCTCACACTGCCTCATCCGCTTTCTGTAGGGGTACCACCACTGTGGATGGTGCTGGCTTTGGCATTGACCGGCCAGCAGAGCTCTCCAAGGAAGATGACGAATATGAGGCCTTCCGAAAAAGGATGATGCTGGCCTACCGTTTCCGGCCCAACCCCTTGGTATATGTGCTGTACTCCTTCAAAGTCACTTTCAGCTGGGCTGTCCCAATTTCTCAGTCTACAGTGTATGGGGGGTGGTAACAGAAGGATACCCCCTCTACTCCAGCCTTAGGTAGGCCAGATCTCACCAGCAACCCCTATCACTCTGCCTGCATTCAAGCCTGTCTTGCTCATCTCTAGAGTGTGAGGTCAGCTGCCCCTTGAAGCTTCTGGACTGGAGAAGGAACTACTGTGTTTCTTTAGCTTTAACCCTCTCCCCTATTTATATTTTTTGCCTCCTACAGAATAATCCCAGGCGGCCTTATTACTGAGTGTCCTAGAGAAACACACAAGTGAATTTTCTGATCAACCAACTGACTGTTCCTGGACTGTGGAATGTTCTGGCCTGCATTTCTCCCCACCCCTCCTGTTGTCCCAAGTGTCATGCTGTGTATTAAAGTCCCAGTGCTCACCCTCCTCATCTGTGTGGTCCTGCCATCTCCAGCAACCGCTCTAGTTCCTTAGCAACAGGGCAAAGCCAGGAGGGGTGGGAACAGGATGCTGTCAAAGGCTATCCAATCCAGCACCCAAGGACTCCTAGAGCACTGTCTGACTCCACTACCTGTGGGGTCTCTGTCCCTGCTCTATCTGGATTGCAGTTGAGTGGAGGACTCACAGAGCTCCCTCTGATGGAAAGAAGGAAAGCCTCTGTCGGGACGGTAAACCCTGAGACATGGCCACACCTAGGCCAGAGGAGTATCAGGGACCCCTGAGCCTAGCACTGTCCTTAGTAGGAGGATGGGGAGAACTCACTAGGCAGGGCCCAGCTTTTCCCTCAGATTTGAAGGGTGGGTGGCCCCAGGGTACTCCTGAGCCTCCACTTTCCTGGCAGGTGGCATAGGCAGGGCCCAGCACACACATAGCAAGCCATGCAATGGCAGCAGCCCAGGCTGTCCCAGATACTTTGGGTTCCACCTATGTGGTAAGCTCATGGGTCATGGAGATGGCACCTATAGCACAGTGGTTATGGCACCAGCTACATACAATGAGGGTGGTAGGTTCAGACCCAACCTGGGCCAGCTAAACAACTGCAACAAAAGAATAGCCAGGCCTGGGCACCTGTGGTCCCAGCTACTTGGGAGGCTGGTGCGGGAGAACTGCTTAAGCTCAGCAGATGGAGGTTGCTGTGAGCTGTGATGTTACAGCACTCTACCAAGGGTGACATGGTGAGACCCTTGTCTCAAAAAAAGTCTCTGAGGCTTATGATCTTGGGGCAATTGTACCATGCTGACACATTAGGAACCTTCTGGAGGAGGCAGCCTCTGAGTAGGAGGTTTTGAGATGGGAGGGCTTTGATAGACCAACGTGTGTGCCAAGACCTCCCTACATCTCCCCCAGGGCTAAAGCCTCACATTTGTGCAACAACCACCCAGAGGATCTTGTCCAGCTACAGCTGCTGAGTCAGCAGATTGAGCATGGCCCTGGGAATCTGCATTCCCTTCAGCTCTGCTGGTGTGCCAGTCACACTTTGAGTATCCAGTCTCAGGGATCTCATGCATTTGCTCCCATACACCCAGTGGGTGCTGTCCAATCCCTGTGGAGACCTAGGGACTCCCTATTCACAGGCTTTTGGGCCAGCCACAGTAATTGAGCAAACACTGAGCACTGACTGAACCAGGTGGATTTGATCTGCCCCCAGGCAGCCAGTCAGGAGATCTTGATCAGCTGCAGCTGCTGACTGAGTAGTGACAGTGTTACCAAGAGAAGCCAAGGTACCATGGTGGAAATGGCTAGGGAGAGTGTCTTAAGGAGATCCAGGGACCAAAAAGATCTCAGAGGCAGTGGCAGAGCTGAGGCTGGGGTCACAGACCACCCTGTTTTCCCTCCATGGATGCTCCAAGGAGTCACACCAGTGGGCATGGCCAGGGCCCTGAGCAAAGAGGTGTTCGCTCTAGGCGGCCAGCAGTTTAGGAACTCTGGAACTTAGTCTCATGTACCCAGCCACATCAATTCACTACTCTCTGTTCCTGATAACCTGGAGACTAACCAGGCTCAGGGCATGAACTTTAACCCCAGATGGGAAGAGGAAACCTCCAAATGCTGTGTACCTTTGCAGGTCTGTGTTGCACATGGTGCAGGGCTAGGGCCCCAGGCAGAGCTGGGCACAGACACCTCTGGCCCAGAATGGGGCAGGGGTGGCAGGGAGGGCTGCCTGGACTTTGCTCATGATAGGGCCTGTCCTGCAGACATGAAACAGGCCTGTGGGATATTAGCACCACTAGAGTTGGGGAAGTTCAGCCCAGAGGAACCTGAACATCATTCCATAGGCAACAAGCACTTGGGGAAGGAAAATTTGAGCCAGATCCTTTTCTAGCTCAGCTCAGACAGACCTGGTTGGTATTAAGGCCAAAGGGCTGCTTGGAGAAGGGGCCCTGGGGGGTGGGTGGGTCGGTTAGAATCTGTGCCCAATACCCAGACTGTTGCCCAGGGGGCAGGAATCAGGTGAGCATGGCTCCCCTTGCTGTTTGTGGTATCCACACCTCCTTCACCTGAGAGTCCACGTGAGAAAGGGTGTGACAGAGACAACCTCCTAATGCCGCAGTCCCCCTCTCCCGGTCCAGATCGGGTCTTTGCATCTCTCCCCAAGTCTTCCCAAGCCTCCTCCAGCCTTCTGCCAGCTGTTCGAAGTAGCTGGCCTGCAGCCTCCTTCCTGTAGCTGCAGCTGCCTCACCTAGCTCCACACGGGCCCTATAGCTTTATTCACCCTGCCAGGAACACTGTTCCCAAGCTCTTCACCAAACTGGCTCCATTCCGACATTCTTTTTTTTTTTTTTTTTGAGACAGAGCCTCAAGCTATCCCTGGGTAGAGTGCCATGGCATCACAGCTCACAGCAACCTCCAACTCCTGGGCTCAAGTGAGTCTCCTGCCTCAGCCTCCCAAGTAGCTGGGACTACAGGCGCCCGCCACAAGCCACAACGCCTGGCCATTTTTTGGTTGCAGCCATCATTGTTGTTTGGCAGGCCCGGGTTGGGGATTCGAACCCGCCACCTTAGGTGTATGTGGCTGGCGCCTCAGCCGCTTGAGCCACAGGCAGCGAGCCATTCCGACATTCTAATTTCAGCCCTCCTCCTCCGTAGACCCCTTCATTTTACCTCCTATCCTGCGTCAAAGACTTTCCCCCAACTCAGAGCTGCCTGCATTGAGACAGCCCTCCCACTCTCCATCAAACCTTCACACCGAGACGAGACGAGTGCTTAAATTCATCTGTGGCCACTGTGTGAAAACTCACACCTAAGCACGCTGAAGAGTATTTTCTCCCCAAGCAGAGGTTGGGGTGAGCAGTATCTGGGGAACGTGGGAAATTAAAAAAGGTCGGGACGCCAGTGACTGAGACAAAGAAGGGTAGCAAGAGGCCTAAAGAACAGATTCCTTGGCTCGGAGCCTGTAGCTCAAGCAACTAAGGCGCCAGCCACATACATCTGAGCTGGCAGGTTCGAATCCAGCCCAGGCCCGCCAAACAACAATGACGGCTGCAACCAAAAAATAGCCGGGCGTTGTGGCGTGCGCCTGTGGTCCCAGCTACTTAGGAAGCAGAGGCAAAAGACTCGCTTGAGCCCAGGAGTTGGAGGTTGCTGTGAGCTGTGATGTCATAGCACTCTACCCAGGGGGACAGCTTGAGGCTCCCCCTCAAAAAAAAAAAAAGAACAAAGTTGCTTGGGGAGCCCCGGAACCTCCAGAACGCAGCCCTTGGCCTTAGAGCGGAGCGGAAGCGCCCCTTGAGTGTTATGTCTCAGCTTTGATAGAGGGAAAAGCTGAGGCTGAGCAGCGGGGACCCGCACTGGAGACCTAGTGGGACGAGCGGAGGAGGTAGATAGGGAGGGGCTAAGGGGCGGAACAGCAGCAAGCGGGCGGGGCCTCGGAGGCTCCCAGGGAACACGCAGGGCACTGTAGGCGGCAGCTAGCCAAGGGCGCAACGGGGGGCGACCTTTGCGCGGGGCGGGTCTCTGGCAACCCCAGGCCAGGACGCACTGCCACGGAGGAGCCTAGCGCCCTGGAGACCGCGCCAGGGTCGAACCCGGGTCCCAGCGCCGCAGCCATGGACATCCTGCCACTGGCCGGCAACATCGCGGCGCTCTCGCTTAGCGCTGTCCCGGTATCCTACGCGCTCAACCACGTCTCTGCGCTTTCGCAGTACGTGCGGGGAGGGGCCGCGCCGGCCTTCGGGGGTAATGGGGGCGGGCGGAGGTGGGAAGTACCGGAGGGGGGGCTACAGGGAGAATGAGAGGGCGGCGGGCCTGGCTCCCGCGGTCCTTGTGCCCCCGGCACCCCTGTCCAGCTCTGGCCTGCGAGGATGGGAGCTGGGCCAGAAAAATTAACCCCCTCTAACGGGAAGTCCCTTTGCCTCTGGTATGGGCGCTCCTGGGACATTTGGGATCTGGGGGGAAGGGATGTTGAGAAGCAGAGACCCCGAGGGCAGGACTTGGAAAGGTTTTGGTGTTGCCTAGGCATGTTCCCAGCACAGGCTTCAGAGTCGTCAAGGGTCAAAGTATTGTCCCAGATAAAAGCCCCAGTGCCACATCCCCCTTCCATTGCCTCTGTCTCAGGCTGAGGGACCAAGGCCATGAGCTAGTGTCTTGACCATGGGCGTGGCTCCCTGGGTAGGAATCCCTGTCTCCATCTCTTGGGACCCTGGCTAAGCCATATTGCCCGTGGGAGCTGCGGTTTCTTCACATGTGTAACGAACATAATCCTTGATCTCATCCAGTAGTTATGGTTGAGGATTATCAATTGTGTGCACAGACTCTGTCCTAATCTTATCTGAGTATTATAATTGTCATTGCTGGTCATATGGGACCAGGATGGATATTCAAGGGGCAGAAGGGTTCATGAGAAGGTGGGGGCCTGGAGAGTATGGGCAAGTGATGGACAGAGCCTTGCTGTGTGACCTTGAACCCACTTGTGTTGAGGGATGCCCAGAGACCTGACTTCTGTAATCCATAACACAGTGAGTTGACCTGTATTATCAGGTTAGTGGGGACAGATAAGGGCAGTGGTTGGGTGGAGTTGATGGAGACGTTTGGACTTTAGCTGGGAGCAGTCCAGAGCCTCTTCAGGTCTACAGAACTGAGCACTAGAAACCCTCCAGCATAGGAGCTGGGCCTGGCCACAGAGGTGTTGACATTGTTGAATGACTGACTGAGCAAATTGAGTCAAACAAATCAGCAAATGATGGGATAAATGATATGGTCAGAAGGGGCTGATGAATGTCTCCTCTGTACCTGATCCAAATCAGGCAGTGATCCTTTCTGGAGAGTCAGGGAGGGATTCCTGGAGGAAGAACAATGTAGATGGGCCATGAAGGATGTATAGGAGTTTGCCAATTAGAAAAGACTTTTGGAAGTGGTTTCTAGGAGGATAAAATAGCCTGAGCAAGAGCAGTTTCAGAGATGGCACTGATGGACAAACAGGTGCTTTAGCCTCATCCCTTGGAGCTTCCTGGAGCTTGCCCTTCCCCCCACCAGGAAGGGTGGGGTGAGGCCTTAGTATGGGACCTGGCCTCCCTGACTTGGTTTACCTCTCCACAGCCCTTTGGCGATAGCATTGATGAGTGCCCTGATCCTAGGAGTGCTCTTTGTGACTATCTACAGCTTGTCCTATTGTGAGATCTCCTACGACCCACTTTATGCTGGTGAGTCAGTGGGAGGCCAAAGGCAAGAGGACTGTCTGAGCAAGGGCCTCCACCCTCAAACTTAAGGGCCATAGAAGAGCTTCCTCCATCAGCCTGGGGCCCTTGAAGAGCTCCCATCAGACTGGAGACCTCAAACAGACTAGAACACTTCCCCCTTAGACTTAGGAGCCTTGAAGACCCTCCTCCTTCAAACCTGGGGCATCTCCCTCATCAGACTGGAAGTCCCTGAAAAACTTTTCCTTTCCATCATTCTGAGATCTCCCGATGGCAGGGATGGTGCCTCTCCCATGAGACATGGAGTATGCAAAGGGAGTGACTGTACCTCCCCACCAGAACATGGGCTTCTGAGGGCCAGGCTATGCCTCCTCCATTAGACATGTAGAATGAGGCAAAGCTGTGATCATTTAACCTGATGGGGAGGGACTGGACTCAGAGTCCTTGCCTGGAATCTTAAATTAACTTCAAGTTCCACCTTATACTTGGCCTGAGCCCACTATGCCTAAAACCCACCTACTTTTGGCTCTAGCCCTGTGCATGCCAGATCCCCACCCACCCTATCCACTCTCTTTGCAGTCTTCACTGTCTTTGCCTTCACCTCTGTAGTGGACCTCATCATTGCTCTTCAGGAAGATGGCTATGTGGTGGGCTTCATGGAGTTCTACACCAGGGAGGTATGTGGGGGAAGGTGGCCCTGGATGTCCCTTTCCCTACTGCCTGCCAGAGCATCACACCTGCCCCCACAGGGTGAGCCATACCTGCGCACAGCTCACGGAGTTTTCATCTGCTACTGGGATGGGACCATTCACTACCTCCTCTATCTGGCCATGGCTGGCGCCATCCATAGAAGGTGCAGGTGATGAATGAGCAGGGTGGCTCCTGACCCTGGGAGAGAAGTCAAGTCCTCAGGTGGGGTTCTGGGCCAGGGTAAAGCCAGAGCTGTCTTTGGAAAAATCAGGAGGGCATGTTCTAGGGCTCTAGTCAGGGGAGGCTAGGTGAAGGTTCTAGGGAACATCATCAAGTATGTGTGGTTGTGGCCAGTCATCATTTGTATCTACCCTGTGCCTGAGCAGCCACTTAGACAGAGGGTCTAGACGGACTGACTGTTTATTCTCCTCTGTTCAACTGCTTGTTGTCCCTTCTATCCTGGGCGAAACTGAGAGGGACCTGGAGCTGGGAACCCAGGGTGGTCCTTGGGCCCTGAGCCTGGGGGTTGTTACCTGCTGGTCACCCCTCAATACCCTGCCCAGGAAGAGATACCGGAACTTTGGACTCTACTGGCTGGGATCCTTTGCCATGAGCATGCTGGTGTTCCTCCCAGGAAACATTCTTGGTAAGGACTCAGCTTTGGGGAATCCTGTGTGCCTTGGGCTGTGTTACTTTCCTGCACTTGGAAGCTCCCTGCCCCCCATGTTGAGGCCTCTATCACTTACTCAAAGTTTGCAGAGTCTCCTCCTCTCCCTAGGCCTCTCCATAGCCTCAGACAGCAGCTTACCCCTCTCTATTCCCAAATTCTGCTTCCTTCCCAAGCTTCTGGTCTCCAGCCCCAGAGGTTTGGCCCAGAATGCTCTTAACACAGGGAGGGAATTTTAGAGTTGTTCTTCGGGAGAAGAGTAAGAGTTTCATGATAGGTCTTGAGAAATAGAGCAGAAAAGGCAATATAGGATGTTAGTGTGGAGTAGCAAAGCCAGCAGATGAAACACATGAGCTGTATCCACAGGATATACCTGATGTGTAGGATCTATATCCAGAGAGTAAATCAAGTCAGGCCAGGCTGAGGATCATGAACATCACCTTGTGGGCACTGGGAGCCACTAGAGCTTGAGCAAGGATGGTATTCATGAATTAAGATATTCTGCCAGGGCCCTGGCATAGTTCAGCTAATTAATGGGTCCAACAAGGCCAGGGAGACCCTTGCTGAGTGATGCCTTCTGTCTCCCACCATGGCAGGCAAATATAGCTCAGAGATCAGACCTGCTTTCTTCCTCACCATCCCCTACATCCTGGTCCCATGCTGGGCAGGCATGAAGGTCTTCAACCAGTCCCGGGTGCCAACCTGCTATACCCCTAACATGGTGAGTGTCCCCAGGCAAGCCTTGTCCCAGCATACCTGAATGTCCTGCATTTGGTCAAAGAATTTGTCTCTTTGGTCGTGAGGAAAGAAAGGAGGAACCTTTATTGAGTGCCTGTTAGATACCAGCCTTCTCATGCTGTCTCTGTCTCTCTCTCTCTCCCTTGGAGCAGATACAGGAAGAGCAAAGAAAGGGCCTCCTGAAGCGCCCAGTGGACCTGGCCCTTGTCATATACCTCATCCTTGCTGGCTTCTTCACCCTGTTCCGGGGACTGGTGAGCCTCCACCTCCCTACTTCCACTCTCTTTTCTCTGAATCATCTCTCCTGCACATGCAGAAAAGCCACTGCCCTTCTGTCCAGTCACCCAAAGAAGTTCTTCATTGAGTCTGATCCGAATGTTTCATGACAAAGCCTCATTCCTAATGAACTTCTCCCCAACCAGAGGGCAAGAACTAGGGCTGAGAAAGGCCAGAGTGAGGGGTTTTGTCCCTGCCCAGGAGGGTGGGGAAGGCCTCCTGAAAGAGAGATGTCTGAGGTGAGTTGTTGGTTTGTTTTTCTGCCCCAGGTGGTACTTGAATGCCCCATGGATGCCTGCTTTGTCTACATCTACCAATACGAACCATACTTGCGGGACCCTGTAGCCTATCCAAAGGTGCAGGTGAGAAGGCAGATAGGAAGAAAGGGCCACAGTCCTGCTTGTAGGTAGGAGTGAAGTTCCAGAAAACCAAATGGAATGTATCATCCAATCAAAAAATACAAATATATGGCTTGGCACCTGTAGCTCAGCAGCTAGGGTGCCAGCCACATACACTGGAGCTGGCAGGTTCAAATCCAACCCAGGCCTACCAAACAACAATGACAACTACACCAAAAAATAGCCAGGCATTGTGGTGGGTACCTGTAGTTCCAGTGGGAGGCTGAGGCAAAAGCATCACTTAAGCCCAAGAGTTTGAGGTTGCTGTGAACTGTGACACCACGGACTCTACCAGGTGACATAATGAGACTCTTTCTCAAAAAAACAAAAAACAAATATATTGTCTTCAGGTATGGTTGAATCCAGCAATTCAGTGATAGTTCTGTCTCTGGGCTCTGCTTTGTTTGGCTCTACTCTTATGTAGTCTCTTTGTGGAGTGGAAGAGACAGCCTAATGTAGCACCAGGCTCCCATTCACCCTACTCAGTCACTAGAGGAATGTGAGCCCTTACTGCCCCAGACCTTAAGCACAAGCCTCAAGCAGACTAGACTGATCCAGCCTGAATCACATGCTTATCTCTTACTGATCATTATGGCCAAGGAGCTAGAATGTTCTGACTGGCTAGGCCACAGTCATATACCACTTTTGGGAAAAGGTGGGTGAGCTTAGTGTGTACGTATATATGTATGGTGGGGGGGGGGGCAGGGATCTCCAAGGAAAATAGAGCATAACTTTATAGAGATCCTGGGTGGGACCTGAAGCTGCCCACACCCTCCCTTGGGGCCCCCACCTCTGGGGTCTCAGGAGGCCCAGCTGGGGTAGACACTCATTTCATAGACTGTGTTCCCCCCACTCTTCCTACAGATGTTGATGTATATGTTCTACGCTCTTCCTTTCTATGCCCTGGCCACCTATGCCCTCACCTTTCCTGGTTGCTCCTGGTTGCCTGACTGGGCCTTGGTGTTTGCTGGAGCCATTGGCCAGGTGAGGTAGGAGGTGGGAGGTGAGTGGGTGAACAGGCATGTAGTTATTGCCCACTCATCAATTACTTTTGTGCTTTCCCTGGGCAGTGCAATAATGGCTCCCAAGAGGCCTCAGCCTCAGGCCAAATACTCTGGGGTTCCTTAGTTTGGGGGAGCCCATGCCAGACTCAGAATCTGGGGTCAAAATTAAAAGGGTCCTACTATATGATTCTCAGGTAGGGACAGGGCCTGAAAGGTATTCCAGAGGGGAAAAATTTCCTAGAGGCAGGGGTAAAGGAGCTGGATTTTGATGTATAAAGATGAGTTCTCTAGGCAGGAAAGGACATTGCAGGAACAAGAACAGTATAAGGAAAGACATGGAGGAGGACAGTGATTTATTTAGTAGGGCTATAAGGTGGGTAAAGGCAGAGATAAGAGAAATTGGCAGCTGGATAGTGAAATCTTTGAACTCTGATATTGGAAGCTTGTGCTAAGGGTGATGAGGAGCCATGGCATGTGTTTGAGCAGTGGAGGGCCTGGTCAGAGATGGGTTCTGATGGGAAGTATTAAAGCCTGGGCTCAGGCCAGGATAGTAGGGGTCAGGAAGCTAATCTATAGAGGAGAATTAACAGGATTTATATAAAGAGCTCTGGGGTGGGGAAGATTGGGAAGAGAAGCTGGACCTAGGTCAGAGAGATGGGGTACCAGACTTAGAAGACAGGTGAAGATGCGTGTTCTGGTTAGGTAGCTGGGGAAGAGGCTCACAGGCAGGTAGACAGGGACAGAGAAGACATGAGGAAACAGGAATATTTAGAGACAGATAGATAGGAGAGGGGAGATAGGTAGGTCAGAAAAGCCAGTGAGATGAAGATAGTGCCTAAGTGCCATCTGGAAGATCCCAGGGGTAATGTTGGTGATTCTGGAACTTCAGTCCCTTCCTGGCCCTGACATCCATCTTTCCTGTTTGGCTACCAGGCACAGTTCTCACACATGGGTGCTTCCATGCACCTGCGCACTCCCTTTACCTACCGCGTGCCTGAGGACACCTGGACCTGCTTCTTCATCTGCAACCTGCTATATGCCCTGGGCCCCCACCTGCTGGCCTATCGCTGCCTACGGTCACCTGCTTTCTTCCTGAAGCCACCACCCTCCAGTCTTCCAGCTCACCATAAGAAGCAGCACTGAGGGGGCTGTGGGGCTCCCCAGAACTCTGTTTACACACCCAACTGGGCCTGCCCTAGGAAAGGTGGGGCTTTTTTTTAGAGGCAGGAGGGACATCTCCAGGTGTCTTCAGTCCTGGCTTTGGTAGTTTCAGGCCCGTGGGTGGGATAGGAGACCAACAGCCAGGTATTCCTATAAAGAGAGCCTCAAATAGCTGTCAACCACACCCCAACTCCCACACAACCTCTTCTACCCCCTCCGAGAATTTATTCATCATCCTTACATGGATCCTTTTAGTAAAAATTCTTTTGATGGGCAATATGTGGCTACCTGAGTGTTTCAAGGTGCAGGGGCAAGGGACCTATTTCTTGGACCCTATAAGGACCCACCCATCACTGCCATCATGGCCATGAGGAGATAGAGTTATCAGAACAGCAGAAGTTAGTTCTAGCTGTTGTGCACAATTCTGTCTTCCAAATAGGGAAAACCAAGGCTGAAGATGGACAAGAAACCTGCCGGAGGTCAGGAGTCACAATTAGGAGAGAAAAGTCCCTGCTGTGCTAATAAATCATAACTAATAGCATGACATAGTTATTAAGCACCATGCTGAAGGCTCACCTCATGTTCCAGATGGGAAAACTAGGGCTGCAGGAGATGAAGGCCCAGTCTGAGGTCATCCCAACCTCTCCACCAAGCCATGGCTGAATGAGGGACAGAGCTCCAACATCCCATAGCAATGAGGACAATGTTAGATTTGGACCTGTGGCACCAGGTCCCTGTAAGTAGAGTGTGATCATTGTGTGGCCCATACCCTGTACAGTGAGCACTTTTGGGTGCTGGAGGACTCCACAATGGTAACCCAGTGGACAGATGGATAAACTGAGGCTAGCAGGCCAGGCCCTTTAACCAGGTCACTCAGCCCTCCTGCCAAAGCAGGGTAACTAATATGAAAGACTCCTGGTTGGGCTGGTGGTTCACGCCTGTAATCCTAGACACTAAACAGCCAAGGCGGTGGATCGCCAGAGCTCAGGGGTTTGAGACCAGCCAGAGTGTGAATGAGATTGTCTCTAGCAGGGCGTTGTGGTGGGAGCCTGTAGTCCCAGCTACTTGGGAGGATGAGGCAAGAGAATCGCCCAAGCCCAGGAGTTGGAGGTTGCTGTGAGCTGTGACGCCAGGGTGATAAACGGAGACTGTCGCTTAAAAAAAAAAACTAGACCTCCGTTGTGGTGGTTGCCTGTCGTCCCATCTACTTGGGAGAACAAGGAAAGAGAATCACTTGAGCTCAAGAGTTTGAGGTTGCTGTGAGCTACGACGCTATGGCACTATACCCAGGGCAACAGATGAGACTCTCAAAAGAAAAGAAAGATTCAAAAACGTTCTGCTGCTGTGAAAAAGAAAGAATCCAGACTCCATCAGGCTTCCCTTTCCTCCATTTTTAAGTTGAAGTCCATTTTAAATGAGCTGAGGCCCAGCGAGGTTCTTTCCTTGCCTAAGGTCAGCCAGCTGAGGCAAGGAACTGGCTGTGCACTTTAAAGTCCGGAGCGGTCCTTCCTCTGCCCATGTTCCAGGCCACCTCCCAGCGAAGCAGTGAGCCTCACTCCGCGTCCCCTTTAACGCCCCTCCTCCTCGCCGGTTTCCCTCCTCCCCTTGCAGGCAGACGCCGGGATTGCGCTTCCCGCAGGGACCTGCCCAGTCCTTGCTGGATGTGCGTGGAGCGCAGTCCGGGCGCGCGCGTAGGGGCCGCTGCGCAGGGGCTGCGAGGGCAGGATGGTGAGTGGGGCCAAGAGTGCGAGTCCCAGGTCTTCCTGATCTGGGATTCTGTCTCTGTGTCCCTGGATGTGAGTCCCTTCGTGTTTCTCTCCGTCTCTGACTTTGGTTTCTCTTCTCTCACACCGTTTCGTATTTCACTCCTGGTACTCTGAGTAATCTTTCTGTCTTTCTCTATTCCTCTCCCTATCTTTCTCTCCCTCTCTTTTGTTCTCCCTCTCCCTCTTCGTTTCCCTCTCTTCCTCTTTCCCTTCTCCCCTTTTTCTCTCCTCTGTGTTTCTCTCTGTCCCTACCCCTATATCTCCCTCCTCTTTTCTGGGTCCCTCACCGTCTTCCCTTCCCCTTCTCTATGTCGCGCACTCTCTTCTCGGTCTCCTGCCTTTTTCTCTGTCCCTGTTGTCTCTCGGTGCGTCTCTCCCTAGGTGTCTCTAGTTCTCCCCCCACCCACCCCCTCCCTTCATCCACCGGTCCCGGCCCCGTTTGCTGCAGTCTCCTGGCGCACGGATAACCTTGCTGCTGCCACCGTTCCAGCTCCTCCCTCCCATCCCCAGCCCAGCTGGGCGGGAGAGAGAAGGAGGGGGTGCTCTAACCCACGGTGTTGGGGATGAGGGACAGGCGGGAGGCTGGGGCAGGGCTAAAGGATGGGGAGTCCAGGGGTGTGGGCTACACGCAGGAGCGAGAGGGAAGTCCTGGAAAGGTGAGCGCGGGGAGAGGGGAGGAAGACTTCCAGCCTTTTCCTTGTTAGTGGGAAAGGGATCTCCAGTACCACGACCAGGGTGGGGCCATGGATGTCTGAGAGGTCCTCGCCGCTGGAAAGGTAGGCCACGGAGCGAGTCCTCGGAAAGGCAGAGGCTGGGAGGCTAGACTGAACGTCGCAGGTCCGTCCCCAGGTGTGCGCTGGAGCGGCCCTCTGTCCTGGCCAGCTCTTGGTGGTGGCATGGGGAGTCCTGCTGCTCACCGCACCCGCTGGGGCTCAGCGCAGCCGGAAGAAGGTTGTGCACGTGCTGGGTGAGTCAGGGCCGCGGAAGCCGGTCTTGCCCCGAGGTAGCCATGGCCAAGATCAATCACCCGGGTGCTGAGGTGGTGGGAGGATGTTCCTGATGGCCTGGGTCCCCCCAGCCTCTCCCCATCTGTTCTTTCTCCCTGAGCCCCTTTGCCCTCTATCTCCTGACCTCCAACCAAGTCTCCCCACATACCCTCCCCTGGGGCCTCTTCCCCAAAGTCCCCTTCTGACCATAAACCCCCTCTTTGAACCCTTCTTGGTCACTGACAGAGGGTGAGTCAGGCTCAGTGGTGGTGCAGACAGCTCCTGGGCAGGTGGTAAGCCACCGGGGTGGCACCATCGTCTTGCCCTGCCGTTACCACTACGAGGCAGCTGCCCACAGCCATGATGGTGTCCGGCTTAAGTGGACAAAGGTGGTGGACCCCCTGGCCTTCAACGACGTCTTCGTGGCACTGGGCCCCCAGCACCGGGCATTTGGCAGCTACCGCGGGCGGGCTGAGCTGCAGGGAGATGGGCCTGGGGATGCCTCCCTGGTCCTCCGCAATGTCACACTGCAGGACTACGGGCGCTACGAGTGCGAGGTCACCAACGAGTTGGAAGATGATGCTGGCATGGTCAAGCTGGACCTAGAAGGTGACCAGCCCTTGGGCAGGATGAAGCTTGCTTCTTAAAGAGGGTGGGGTGGGGAGAATTGCAAGGGACAGAAGCCAAATCAAGTTGGCCTGAAGTTAACTAGAGGTTTGATGGGGTAAAGCCCCCAGATCTGATGGGGGTGATTTTGTTCCCTGGGGACATTAGCAATGTCTGCAGGCATTTTAGATCGCCCCATCTGGAGCAGCTGGTTGCTACTAGCATCTAGTATGTAAAGGCCAGGGATGCTGCCAAACATCCTATAAAGCATAGGACAATGCCCTACAGCAAAGAATGGTCCAGTGCGAAATGTCAATAGTGAGAACCTTTATTGGGCACAGTGGCTCATGCCTGTAATCCTAGCACTCAGAGAGGCTGAGATGAGAGGATGGCTTGAGCTCAGGAATTGGAGATCAGCCTGAGCAAGAGGGAAATCCTGTTTACTAAAAATAGAAAAATTAGTTGTGTGGTGGCTGGCTCCTGCCTGCAGTCCCAGCTACTCAGGAGGCTGACACAGGAGGGTTGCTTGAGCTTAGGAGTTTGAGGTTGCTGTGAGCTAGGTTGAGGACATGGCATTCTAGCCCAGAGCAAGACTCTGTGTCAAACAAAACAAAACACACACACAGTGAGGACGTTGTGAAATCCCAAGATAGGATTCAGGCAAAGAAGTATAGGTTTACATCCTGTTACAAACCCATCCCTCATCTCTGCTTTGCTGGGTGGACTTTCCTTAGGCGGGTTTCTCCTTATGGAATCAAAAACATAGTCCCAGACTTTCAACTTCTCAGCTTAGCTACTGATTTCCTAAGAGCCTCAGCTAGAGTCCCAGAGTTGTCCCTCATTGGCCCAGCTTAAGTCATCCTTCCCATCTAGAAGCCAATCACTGTGACTGAGAGAAAGAATGCTCTGATTGGTTGTTTGTGGAGCTGGAAGGTGGGATTTCTGTCTGAAGAATTTCTCTTTAGTCCACGGTAGAATGTTCTAAGGAGAGATTGGAGAGCCTTCACTTACTGGACTCCCCAGCTATTACAAATAATAACTATAGCAGCAGCTTTCCTTTTTTTTTTTTAAACAGTTTATTTATTTATATTTATTTTTTACAGTTTTTGGCTGGGGCAGGGTTCGAACCCACCACCTCTGGTATATGGGGCTGGCACCCTACTCCTTGAGCCACAGGCACTGCCCCAACAGCAGCTTTCCTTTATTAGGCATTTACTACATGACAGGTGCTTGGGTGAAGAGCGCTCTGGAGTCTCTCATTTAATTTCCCCCAAACTTAAGAGGGAGACAGCTATGGTGGGTACATGGGCACTTGCCTCAGAGAGGCTAAAGCCTTCCTGGCCCAGGGCACATGCTAGTGAATGGCAGAACCTGGATTCAATCCCCAGTCTGTCAGCTCCAGGCCTTTTCCCTGGCCCCTGTCTGCCTCCATCCTGGGTTTGCTGAGAGCACCCCATTCACCCCAAGCCCTGCCCCTCAAATACAAACACAGAATCTTCTTGAGCTGAGCTGTGAGTCCAGTGAAGGAAAAATTCCAGAGTCCTAAGAACTGAAGGTGGAAGGAAAACCAGTGGGTACTGACCTGGGCAAAGCTGGGAGATTAAAGAGATCTTCACCTAGGGCCAACCTTCCCGGGGCTCCCGGTCCAGGGGTGTCAGCACTGGACACAGACATTGGCAGCTTCATGGACTTGGGGGTGGACCAGAGGGAAGAAACCAGTACTAGGAGAAGGGAGGGAGGCCGGGAGGAGTAAAAAAGGAGAGTTTGGGAGCTGGGTTTTTAGTGGAAAGAACATGAGCAAAGGTCTCCAGCGGTGGAAGAGGGGTGGAAAAAATTATGTTAAGAGAGCAGGTCAAGTGAATCCCAAGATTAAGGCAAAAGAACCAGTTATGAGGGACGTGAGCTGGGAGGTCTGAGGCCAGACTGACGGATGAATTAGAAGAGTCATATGGCGCCCTAGATGTCAGGTGAATGGGGACAGGCTGAGGTTCCCAGACTGACCCCTGAGAGCCCCCACTCCCGCTCTCAGGCGTGGTCTTTCCCTACCACCCCCGAGGAGGCCGCTACAAGCTGACTTTGGCAGATGCGCAACGCGCTTGCGCCGAACAGGACGGTATCCTGGCATCTGCGGAGCAGCTGCACGCCGCCTGGCGCGACGGCCTGGACTGGTGCAACGCGGGCTGGCTGCGCGACGGCTCCGTGCAGTACCCAGTTAGCCAGCCCCGGGAGCCCTGCGGCGGCCTGGGCGACGCCAGGCACTCGGGAACGAGCGGAGGCAACAACGGGGGCGTGCGCAACTACGGGTATCGCCATAACGCTGAGGAACGCTATGACGCCTTCTGTTTCACGTCCAACCTCCCGGGTGCGTAGGCACCGCCCCGAGACTAGCCTCTAACCTATTCCCCGCGCCGGGTCCCTCTTCCCTACCCAGCCCTCAGTGATGCAAAACCCCTTTCCAAAGAAAGACTACCCCAGCGCAGCAAAAACTGCCCGGCAACATCACTGCTCTGGCCAAGGGTGGGGTCCCAGGCTGCAAGGGAGCTTCCACTCCAGGCTGGAGTACTGGGCTAAGTGGTGGTGGTAGAGGGGGAAACGCCCTGAATCCCGAAGCCAGTTCTGACAGTGGTCCTAACAACTCACAACCTGCTCCCGCAGGCCGCGTGTTCTTCCTGAAGCCGCTGCGGCCTGTGCCCTTCGCAGAAGCGACGCGCGTGTGCGCCGCTCGCGGGGCATCAGTGGCCAAGGTGGGGCAGCTGTTCGCCGCGTGGAAGCTGCAGCTGCTAGACCGCTGCACCGCGGGCTGGTTGGCCGACGGCAGCGCGCGCTACCCCATCGTGAACCCTCGCGCGCGCTGTGGGGGCCGCCGGCCAGGCGTACGCAGCCTCGGCTTCCCAGACGCCTCCCGACGTCTCTTTGGTGTCTACTGCTATCGCGCTCCAGGCGCCCAGGATCCCGCACCTGGTGGCTGGGGCTGGGGCTGGGCCGGTGGTGGCGGGTGGGCAGGGGGCGCTCGAGATCCTGCTGCCTGGACCCCGCTGCGCGTCTAGGTCCGGAACAGGCAAAGGGCTGGGACACTTGGCCGCAGGTCTAGTGTCCTGCGGTCCCCTGAAAGCTGGCCACATTCCCTGTGGTCCTTTACAAATTAACCACGCCCCTGGGGTTTCTTGAAATTGGCCAGTCTTGCAGACTAATACCCAGGAATTCCTTGGAGACTGGCCAAACCCCACCTCTTTTGGACAGCGGATCTTCCTCCTGCCCTAAATTTCTCCAGAAGACGGGTCACACATGCCCCTAGAGGACCTCAGGAGGCTAACAGACTCTGTAGACTCTTGAAAACTGGCTGTGCCTCCCAAGACCAGTTGGAATCAAATGAACTGTCCTCATGGTCTCCTGGAGGCTGGACCCCCGGGATTGTCTGGAGACTGACCACACACACCATGCAAACTGGTTCCGTCACTGTCCAGGTCGCCTTGACAGTCAACCTTCCCCTTTCTATCACCTGGAGAGAATGCAGAAACTTCAGGGTTCATACCCTTGTGGTCACATGGCAACTGTGGGTTAAGTCACTTCCACTCCCTCACAGTGACTTGGGGACTGGGTACTCCCCTTCTACCCTTCTCCTCGAGAGTCCCCTGAAGTTTCAGGTCACACGTCCACAGGTCAACTGTGGAGGACTCCTCCAGTTTCATGGGAGAACACTAATCTGTCACCTTCAAGATGGTTTCACATTCCCTGCCCTGTCCCTCAAGTATTTTTCTGGATGGGACAGCAAATCCATCCTGCCTCAATAGCCCCTTCCCTGGCTGTCACCAAAGAGACCATTTCCAGAGGTTAGGAACCCATGAGATCCATATCACTCATTAAGGAGGCCAGCTGTTCTGGTTCACCTGTCACCACAGTGACCATCCTGTCATCTAGAACCACACACCCCCTCCCAAATCAGTCACATCCATGGAAATGGTGCCTCCTTCCTCCATTTGTAACCATGGATACTACACAATTCCCATCTTACCATCCTTGACCCTATACAACCTCACTTCTGGCTGTCCCCACCCTGACTGACCACCACAGAGATCACCCTCCCCATAGCTGTCCCCAGGGTGACCCAACATTCAGTTCTGCTCTCACCATGGAAATAGCCCCTTTCCCAAGGCCCAGTCCAGCTCAAGGCCATCCCCTGAGCTCCACCCCTTTTAAGGACAGCTTGGATGCCACAGTCATTGCCATGGAGATCAAATTGTGGTGTCTGAGGTAACAGAACACCTGTCCCTCCTTTTTTTTCTTTATCCACAGGGCCCAGCCCCAACAAGCTGTCACCATAGAGACTATCAGTGTTGTCCTCATGACAATTGACCTCTAAGCTCTCAGGAATGTCTCACCATGGGTCCCATGCCCTTGGTGTCTTGCCCTAGGTTGCCTCCTGCGTCTCATCTTGGACTTGATGGCTGACCCTTACCCAAATGGTTCAGCCCCAGACAGTAATCCAAGACAGGGCTGGACTTCTCAAACTATGGGCCACCCTCTGTTTGCACGCCTACTATACGCCAGCTGTACACAAGACACCCTTGCAACACCTAGACATTTTTGTTGTCACCCTACAGATGAGGAAACTGAGGCTATGGCATGCCCTGCCTAGCCCTTTGTGTTATGCAACCACCTTGGTGTCTGAGACCTCATCCTCATTTTCATTGAGTTCCTCTCTCCTTTCCTGATTATTATCCACATTTTCCTCCTTAGAGACCTTGAAGAGATGGAATGTTTCTTTAACTTCAACATCCACCATGTTCTAGGGGACAGTTTGTTCTAAGAGGTCAGGACCCAACTAAACTCCTCAGTGTTGACAGCCAGCTTATGGGAGAGGGTCAGCGGACAAGGCCATCCCAGCTATGGGTGACTCCAGCTCTGAGGTCCTGCTTGGAGGAGCATAGAGTCCTTCCCATATCCCTTTTTACTGTCACATTCATTACTAGGAAACCCATCCCTGAGTTTTGGAACGAAGTAAGTTTGGATTCAATACTATCTCTTCTTGCTCACGGGATGACCAACTGACAAAACCACTCTGAGCCTGTTTCCTCCTCTGTACCAGGACTGTTCTGAGATCCCTGTGAGTGCAAAGCATATAGCAGGGGCTTAATAAATCCTTGTTTCTTTTGATGAATGAGAAAATGAAGCAGCCAGTGGGTAATTACTTTATCAATGCACTTCAGTAGAATGCTTACGAGCTG